GCAGGATAGATAATATATAAGTATTTGTATGATAATAGTAGAATTTGGGTGAAAGCTCTTAAATACAAAAATTGTATTCTTACTTATGTTTGGTAGAGTGATTCTTGAGGTGATTTAAGAATAAATGGTGTTTAAAAGAGGTTAAGGAACCAGATTTGCGTAGGGAGGTGAGTAAGGAATTCCAAAACAAGCTCGCATGAGAAAGGATTTTTGAATGGAACAGTTCTATGAGAAGGAATAAGAAAGGAATGTGGGCTGGGATCTCATGTTAAAGAAATAGACAGACGAACAAGGAGTAAACAAATCAAATAGGTAAGATGGCTTTTTGATTGTAAAGGTTCTAGAGACGTGGGGGCGACTGGGAACTACAAAGATGAATCTAATGAAACAATTCATTAAGATCTTCAATCTCATCTCATGTGCACCGGACATTCCACCATATACAAGACAGCCATAATCGAATTGGAAAAAATGAGAGAGGAGACAAGAAGTTGACGGGTTTTAGTGGGTATAGAATCACGGAATCTTAGGAACTGGTTGAGGGTAGCAACGGATTTTCGGATAATTTGGGAAATACGGTTATTCCAGGAAAGGTATTGATCGAAAATTACTCCAAGAATTTTATTCACAAGTTTCTCTCGAATTCGGTTAACTCGAAGTTTTTATATGCATTGTAGTTATCCTTATCATTAACTAAAAATTCTTATCGGGATAAATTTATTACTTTTAGAAAAACTTCCTTATTTTACAAGTTATTAATCGATTTGAAGTTTATTATGGAATAATTTGAGATTCATCTCTATTTATGTAAAAAAAAAAACTGATTTATTTTTAAATGATAATTTACAACGAAGAGCTTGAACCATATTACAAAGAGATCCTAACTTTGTATTGTTGCAGTTGGTATTGAAAGCTTCATTTATAAAATGACTACTATTTTACAATTGTCTTATATTTACAATTATAATTTCGTTAGCCATGCACCACCGATCATCGTTAGTCTACGCGATGTCCTTCGTATTATAGTTATCCTTATCATCACCTTAAGGCCCTTATCAGGATAAATTTATGAAAATACTTGCAAGCGAAGTTGCAGTCATACTATTTTTATTTTAAGTTCATATTTTTTCTTAAAATTACCGGTTAACCTTTTCCAATTTCCATTATTCTTGTCGAAACGTGAATACAAGCATGGAATTGGTTGTGTAATTTGAATTTTTTTTTTTTAACTCTAGAAAATAAATTCTGTGAACTTTTTAAATAATATAATAATTAGCATGTATTTTTAAAAATATTGAAATAATAATTCTAATTATGCACTGATATTATCAGGTGATATCCGTTTGGCGTTCTATTGTAGGGATGTTACGTTCTTGTTATAATGCGTGCCACAACATAGAGCTACTTCTGAAGACGAATGTTTTTCGCTTTTGCAAATTTTGATATTATACATGTCTGATAAAAACAATTAAAATCTATTATTTACATAATGTATTATATATAAAAATTGAATATTAGGACTAACCATATTTTTTTTATCTATCTCATAAACGCTTGCCTCTGAAAAAAGAACTTGTTTTTTTTAATGAAAAAAAAATAGGAATGAATCTAAAATTATTCTGGCTAGCGCATTCTCCTACCTCTGTCCTGTTCTATACTGCCGTAAACGATCTCATTCCTTTCTAATAAACTAATCGCTCTAACATATAAGTGGTTATATCAAAGCTCTTTTAATCCCTCATTTAGCGATAAAGCATGTTTAATTCATTCTTTCTTTTTCAAGTATTTTTAGTAATGGCATAGAACAAAACATCCGCGAAATAATCATTTCTCGGAAAAAACTTCCTCGTTTGCGCCGGTACGCTGATGGAATTATTAAATGAAGATGAGGTAATCTGAAGCGGCTCCGGAACGTAGAAAGATGAAGAGGGGACTTAGAAATAAACGGAAGGGTTAAGAAAAAAAAAAAAGGAATTGCGGCGAGGGGCGCCATACGCGATAAAAACAAGAGGTCTCAACATTGCTCATGAGGTATTCCTCTCCTAATTACTATAATCCAGTCTCCTTGGGCTGAGGTTGGTCACGTCATCGCGTATTCAATAAATATTATTCAGTCACAATAATAACGTCTGGGAAATATTTTAGCGATGCCAATGTCCTCTCTGCTTCCTATCTCTGCTCTCGACGGATATTTGAATATATATTAAGTGTGTGATATAATTTATTTGCGTATGCCGGGAGTGACGTAAGTAATGGGAAATATTTAAAGAAATGATAACAGATATGAAAAGGTACAAACAAGTTTAAACTTTGGTCCAATTTTATGCAGAAAAGTAAAAAAATTAAGTGTTTTTTTTTTTTAAATAAGTTGCGATTTTGGTTCAATAGAAACTATGTATAGAAACTATGACAGCAAACATTTTTTTCTTAGTCAAATATACAAAATTTATTTTTAACGCAAGTCGTGTTTATCTTTGCTAGAGTCATTTCAATGGGACTTTTAGATATCTTCATTACGCTAGATTTGGATTTTGAGAGAATCATGTATTATTCTTTATTTTTTTTAATGCCTTCCACCTCGGCTGTAATTACCCCAATTTAAAAAAACACCTTTGTTAAAGGAGATTTATGTTCAGGTACATTATGGAATAATTTTAGTTTTACGTCAAGTTATGTCACGAGCGGATCTACGGGAGGAGGGGGGGCTTTCGGGCTGAAGCCCCCTCCCCCAAATGGAAAAATATAACCAGTTTTTATGGGAAAACAAATTAAAAAATACCTCTTAAAATATTATTGTTCGTGTAATTACATTTAAAAGTACTTAAGGAATAACTTAAACACCATTTCATATAGGTAGTTAGTTTCTTTCTGTTTTTCCAAAGTAATTATCGTTATTTTTATGAAAAAAAAGGTTTCGGGCTGAAGCCCCCCCCCAAAAAAATTAAATCCTGGATCCGCTAGTGAGTTATGTAAAAAAGAAATATGTGAAATGATATTCTATCACGATCACGCTGAGGTACCTGTGTTTTAATAAAAATAATCACGATAATTTATTAACAGGCTTTCTTTTTTTTTATTCTATGATTCTGGGATGTTGTAGTAAATTAATTATGAAAATCTATTTTTTATTTATGAAAAAAAAAATGCTTTTGTAACAATCTAGAATCTTATATCAAAATCCATAGGCGATTTTACACAGATCTCTACTGTGAGAATTGATCTTTATTTTATTTAGTGACCAAATAAATGTTAAGAATCTTGATATTTACTTTTTTTTTTTGTTATACGTTATTGATTTATTATGAAGAGATATTACCTTAAATTCATATTGAAGCTGGTAACGAAATCTGTACTTGTGAAATGATCACTATCTCGCAATAGTCGTGTTCCTTGAATCATAATTTCGTATAACAAAACCCCACGGACCATCATAAGTCTACGCGATATATTTTGCACTATTTGCAGTACATTATATTCATATGATAATTCTCTGAAACCTAAATATTAGATAAGCTACCTATATGCTTCAAGATATAAAGCGTTTTAAATTTTTACACATTCTGCCTAGTAGTTTTAGCAGATGGTTTTATATTATTAGCTTGTATTTACAGTAAATTGATTATTAAAATAAAAAAGGTTTTCCGTTGAAATCATGAAGATGAAAGCGTGGTTAATTTTTTTACCATTTTCAATGTACTGACTTTAAAACAATTTATGAGCATATAGTTTGATATGTTGGGGTATTAATTCGTTGTGGTACTATGAGAATATAGTAGTTTGCCCGAAACGTTGTATAAATGAACTGAACTAAACAAATTAAAGGGATGCAGAGTTGGGAGTGGAAACGCAGATATCATAAGGATCGATCCAGTAGTCATGAGCTGGAAATTTGTAAACAACAATGGCGCCAGGGACCTGTTTTCCTTCTTTCGTGGCAAAGTTGGCCGCTTCCCTTTCATAGGCAATATTGTTCCCTGGAGGAATGGTCTGCTCAATCAGGGCATGTTTCTTTTATTGCACTATTTTTGTTGTTGCTACTCTTCGGGTCATTTCCCTCGTATAGTAGTTGTTCATTCTAATAATAATAAATTATATTAAATAATTATAAAAAACAAATAGCATCTGAATTACAATGATTCTTCTTGTAAGGATGTTGTTCAGTTTCGTCATGCTTATGCGGAACATTTTAGGTAAATTGTATAAATTTACTGCAGAAATTTCTTGATATGAATATGCCAGCTTCTTGTGGGATGAAGTCAGATAGTCGACTTTTCCTATTTTCTCAATGGATTTTAGTTTATATATTTTATTCATTCATGAGGATTATTTGTTATTAATTTTTTTTTTTTTAACTTTAAATTATTGGAGAAGAGAGAGCGAAATGATATTCTGCTTCTCTCCTCTCACACTCTCTCCCCCTCCCCCCTCCCCAAAGTCATTAAATTAAATCAAGTGCCAAGAAAGAGATATTAAAAAATTGCCCCTAAATTTTAGTCAAGTCCCCTTATTTCCCCTCCCCACCCCCAAAAAACTGCCATACACTAAATACTGCTCTAAACCTATGCCATATATTTGTGATATTTGTAGGACTTCTTTTCATTATATTTTAGTCTGTTAGTCCTATAGTTTTTTTTTCTTTTGACATGTAATAGATCTTTTGTTGCCTTCTCCATGTTTTCCTATCTTGGGCTATTTCTTACCAGTTATCTGCATAAATCTCATTTCCATGTTTGTTGATTCGATCTATCCATTTTGATTTTGGCCTCTATGATCTCTTGTCTACTATTGAGTAATTCATTGTTGTGTTAGCAGAAAAGTTAATTTTTTTTTTCCGAAATCCTAGAAATCTCTCAAACATTATCAAGAACCATTCATTATCGAAACGGAAAGAATATCAAGGCTGACAATTGAAGCTGCTAGTGGTATTATCTGACCACTTGGCCGAGTGGAATACCACCACCAGGTTTAACCTAGTGGCAGGCCTTACGAAACTGCCTCAAATGGTTGTCACCTTGCAGTCCTTGATGGGGAATCCCATTGCCCCTCTGGTGGCATTACCCTGCAGCGTTGTAATACCATCAGAAGGCATTGCTCGTTGCCCAGTTTAGTCGAGCTATTCCCAAGACCCTCGCGGTGAAAGGTCAGGTACCCATATTATCAGGGTTGGATCAATCTGGGATGGATAGTAGACGCGGTGACCAATATTTACTGAATCATGTTTCAAGACAGATTATCCATTCATGTTGGTGTAGGATAAGTAAGTTTTAATAATTAGAGAGCGTATCTTATTTCTGAGTGATCATAGTTGAAATATTATTTCGCTACTGTTAGTGCAAAGTAAAAGTAGTCAAATATCTATAGACTATATACTTTAGACATATGCCATATGTTTGTGGTATTTGTAGGAAGTTTTATTATATATAGTCTGTTAGTCCTATAGTTTTATTATTTTCAATATGAATCATTGTATCGACAAAAAAATTCAAGAAATTAACTTCCTTTCAAAATATGAGGTTTTACCTTTCAGGATACATAGAATTCGAAAAACGAATAAACATTTTTTTGTCCGTTAAAAATATAAATTGTGTGTTCAAATTTGGATTTAAAAATAGAAGTCACCCGAGGATGTTGCTCCTTCATCAACATTTCTATTCGCCTTTACCTTTCAAGATGGCGACCGAAAAACCTGCGTTGCTATAGGCTGTAGCGCCTTAACGAATGTCCGATTTCAATGAAACTTCGCTAAAGTCTTCTTCTCGATGCCATTTAAATTTATAACATACTTCAACGAAAAGGAGCTAGAAAAAAAGTTATGAGGGGTGGTAAAATTAAATTCCGAATAACTCAAAAAGTGTACACGATATTGTGATATGATGTTTAAAAGGTATTGAAATTTTGAAGTCGGACAATTAGGAGCAAAGATATGGTCTCCTGCATGGTTTTTTTTATATGTTCTACTGCAAAGGTTGTATCCTTTGTTTTAATTTTTGAATTTTGAATGTGTTACTGAAGTAATGCTAATTTTTTTAGCATATTACTAATAAAAAAAAATGTTTAGACCAATAATTGGACCAATAAATCACATTTTATTTATTTTCTTTTTAACTAGGAAGGTATTGTTACTTTAGATGTATAATTGTTTGGAAATAATAAACCATTGTGAAATAATTTGCAGCGTTTTTTCTTTATATTTTTACAGACCTTGTAGATATTTTGTTGAATATATATTATTATAAAAACTGATTATTTCTTTATGATTTATTAGTATACTTTCATATTTTATTTTCCATATTAGCAGACTACTTATTGCAGTTAGACTACATGTCAAAAGGTCATCTCTAGCATAGATATAATAAACATGGAAAATTGATACAAAAGACCTTTTGCACTAACAGTAGCGATATGTTGTATTTGAACATGAAATTCATTAATATGTAAAAAATAAGACAAATTTATGTATTTGAAAAAACAACGTGCCACACATGAAAATATATTTATTGGAAGATAATGAGTAAATCTATTATCAATTACATAAAATATTCCCTAAAGGCGTAATAAGATTTTAAATAGAAAATCCTAAGTAAAACATTATCTGTTATGTTTGTATTACATATTTATACTTTCCCTTTAAATAAAAACTGGCAATATTTATCCTATAGTTTATATATATTAGTTTATATATAAATATATATATATATATATATATATATATATATATATATATATATATATATATATATATATATATATATATATATATATAAGGTTGGGTTAAAAACGAAACTTATTTTTTTGAAATAAATTGAATGATGAAAATTCGGAGCAAACAAAGGATTTATTCTGGTAACCCCCACCGAGTTTAAATTCGTTACTGCCCGGTTAGTTAGTTTGAGACGCATGATCACTGTGATGGTACTCTATGGTGGTTTTGGTTCGTGTTAAGAGTATTTTTTTCAATTTTGCATTAACTGTCCCTAAAGCTCTTCATAACAGATTAAGTTAGAGTTATGTGATTAACGGGAAGGGATTCGAGGAAGATACGTGCAGTTTTATTTTATTTTTTTAATTTTTGTAATGTATATTAAATTTTTTTTCAATTCAGTACGAACCCTACACACTACGTCATCTACATGGTGAGACACAATAATGATATAGCACGTTACTGTGTAGTGCATATATTAACAATGCATAGAATTATAAAATTGTCCCTAGGTCTGTCTGATCTTGTAGATTTGGGTTATAAAACGGCTTAGTAGAGGAAGGTATCTGCAATCACTGATTGATTCGTCGGATAAGCTAAACTACATTGCAGTTATTATCAATAACAAACATTTAATAAAAAAACAAAACAATAAGGGAAACAAATAATAAAAATAAAGTTTACATTGTATATGATGTTTTTAGGTAATGATTTCATGTCTGAATGCAAAGCACGACGTTGGTATGTTAAACGCTTCCTCTTAAAGAATTTGCATGTTGAGGATCATCCTGGTGTTCTCATAATTATAAACAACTTATTTTTAGAAATGTTCTCAACGTTTGAAAGAAATACCATTTAATACAGTAGTGGTTTGTATTTGTAATCGTGATTCAGTATTTGTTCGGATGGGGAAAAAAAATCACACATATTTCGTTTGAATTTTTTTTCTTGTATTCATTCCGAAACGGGCCCCGAAAAACTCTTCCTCGCTCAAACAAAGACCATTGAATCACTGGCCACCGTATCTGTATATGTGAAAATTTTTACCAACACTGTTCTCATTTGCCTATCTTTAAATATTAGGAAAAGTGAAAACCCGAGCACTCATTTTGGAGATATAAGAGGAAAAGGGAATGAAAATGCGGAAAATTTTTAACAATACTGTTATTATCTGCTCTTCTCTTAACATTAGGAAAATGCTTGGAACAGTGAAAATCCGTGAACTCATTCTGAAGATAAATGAGGAAAAGCGAATTAAAATTCGGAAATTTTTTACCAATACTGTTTTCATTAGCCAATCTTCAAAAATTAGGAAAACGTTTGGAACAGTGAATATCCGAGCACTCATTTAGGAGATAAAAAAGACAAAGCGTATGAAAATTCGGAAAAATGTTTACACCATAAAAAAGTCATAAATAAAATTACATTTATCATACTATAGAAATAGCCAAAAAGAATAGAATTATCTGTTTTTATTTATTTAATTATAATAACTATGTATTTTTTTGAAACGGATATAGTAGACCCCGTTCTTTTGATAAATTTTTAAGAAGAAATCCTCAAAAAAAAATCTTCAAAAAAGGTGCCAAGAAATTTTAACAAACTATATAGTCCATTCGATGAATGATTATAGAAGGTAATGCCGGAGACACAATTTTGGATTTTGAGACATTTTTTGGACTAGTAAGGAGGTAAACATAATAAAAATCCTCACTCCTAGTTGGTTTTCGCTTATATCAGGAAAACTATCCATCGCATCGACAAAGGCGTTCTACTAAAAATTAAAGCTGATAAAATTTTGGGTATGATTGACTATATACATTTTTTCGCTATCTCGCTTAGTTTCCGAGATGTCCGTCCTCAACAATGGCTAATTTTGAAATTTTTTTTAGCTGATGTTTTTTACTGTATTTAACAAACTAACTCTTGATTGCTTCATTTTGCGATTAACTCACGGGGAAGAAAGTTTTTATCCCCATATATCCTCCAGTGCTTTGACCTATGTAGTATATATAACATTAAAAAAAAAAATAATAGGTTCATTAGAATTTAATTCGAAACGTAGAAAAGGTATTTATTCTTAGAATTAATTAATTAAACATTAGAAAGGCTAAGCATATTCATTCTCCCTGCAGACACAGGTCTCCCAAGTTATCTGCTTGGCGCCAGCTCGCGAGCAGTACTGCATGCAAATGCGATGCACTTGAACCGAACTGAATCAGACTGCATTCGGTGTGCAAGCTTATCGCCCTCACTGCTAGTAGCGTTCGTTACGTTCATGACCTCCTTGCTGATGTCTTGAATCTTTATCTCATTTATCCAAATTTTTAATTAGATAATTTATGTTATGAAATAATTAGATAATGTATATTATATTACACTTTGATTAAATCATTAGGTCTTTAATTTTGAAAAAATACTTATTCGAGCAAAAATGTTAAAAAAAAAAATGAAAATTGATTAACGAAATTTAAATAACTGATATTATTTTAAACTCTATTTTCATAAATATTATTGCTCTATGGAATTAATTTTAATGTAAAAGAGCAGATATATCGAAAAAAAAAATAAAATAATTAGGATACAAATGAAAAATCCAAAAATATAAAATGAAATAAAATAAAAATTAATAGTGTTTCAGGGTATATATTAACGTCCATACCAAAAGAAAGTGACTCCACAATCAATGTTAATGTAATAGTAATAGCTGGAAAAGAGAAATAAACTAATTAGGATATAAATAAAAAAAAATAATATAAAATATTTTTATAATATATACTATAGTATATTATGTTATAGATGGAAAAATCCAAACAACAAAGCCATGAGTCTCCAACATACAAGTGATTAGTTAGCATACCGTTTCGCCAATTCAGGCATCATCAATGCAGAAAGACCAAGATGATATACACCAAGACCATATACACAATAAAAACAAAAAGGAAAAAAAAATTTTTTTTAAATACTGCAATAATTTTTTTTCCTTTTTGTTTTTCTTTGTGCATGTATTTGTCTTAATTTTTCTGCCCTGATGATGCCTGAATTGGCGAAACGGCATGCCAACTAATTACTCGTATGTTGGTGACTCATGGCTTTCTTGTTTGGATTTTTCCATTTATAACATAATCACCTTATTTCTCTTTTCTAGCTTTATGTTTATTTTAATAATGTATTATATTTTTGAGTTTTTTTTTTTGTTTTCTTGTATTTTTTTCTCTCACTTTGTTTCCTGTGAGCTGTTTAATTTATGCATCCTCTACTTTGCCTTCAGTATGTGTATGGATGGCTTGATCTGATGCTCCGTATCCAGTGAGAGTATTTTTTTTTCTTTACGTTCTGGTTATATGTCACCTTGTTTTTTCTGTTCTGATGATACCAGAATTGGCGAAACGTTAACGGCCCAACTGTTCACTTGTATGCCAGAGACTTATGGATTTCGAAAATTTTCCATTTATAACCTAATATGTAATTAATTTTTACAAAGAGTTATAGTTGACCTTAAATAAAATCAAGGTAGTTGAGACTGCAATACGAATGAAGTAAATATTAAAATAATGTTGGTGTCTGCAGACCTCTCGGCTCAAGTCATAGGCTTTAGAGGTGAAGAGCTAAAAAAGTAAAATAATAAATACTTTAGAATTACATTGATTACTATGAATTTTTTTTTTAAAGTGCGTGGAAAGATATAGTTGGCAAAACTGATCATTCTCGGGAAGAAATATTTTTTATTGTATTTTTAAAATTGACTCATTTACAATAGGGACTGTGTCGAGCTGAAAGTCGGTTGGTTCGAGGTTGCTTCTTGAGGATGTTGCCGCTCTCACTCCTAAAAAAAACAAAAGTGATGAACGTAGATGAGGTAGTGATTCAATAAAAAGAGATACCAAGATCACTTAATAAAAACGTAATGCGGAGCATGGAAGAAGTCAGCGATGGAGGGGAGGGATATCTTGATTTTCTGTAACAATATTTACCACTCACTGTTTCAAATGAACTTCAGTCCCCCTGAAATATGAGACAAATTGATAAAAAATAGTCGCTAGTTCGCGTCCCGGTGCCGAGGGAGTATTTTAAATCCATACCCACGCTCCCTGGCCTGGGATAACCCCGTATAGCCTTAAAAGTGAGGAAGGGGATGTCCAGAAAAATGTCCAAGATCAGATAGCATGTTTAATTAAAGAAATCTCTGTGTTTTAGCAAAACGTCCCTGAATATATAAGCATAAGAGGACTAGGTGAAGAGCTTCCACGAGTAGTCATTACAAAATAGAAACTATTTTATTGTAAAATTAATTAATAAAGATGTTTATTATTAGAGTCACTTCAATATATGCGGAGGATTAAACTTGTTCGGAACTATATAAGTTATGATAAAATAATGGAAAAATAAGAAGGCATAATATCTTGTTCGTAACTAAACAAGTTATGAAAAATACGAAGGATAATGGTGTTTTCTGATGTATATTCTAAGGTACGAAAGGTGTCCGTAGCGCGCCTACATGAAGATTCGATATCGGAGTTCGTTGAAAGTGAAGCACCCTTGTAGTTTCATTAGAATTACTCAACGTTATCGATGAATCAGCATCGAAGGAACCAATTAACGCTTATCTAGAGGTATGAACTGGAAAGGAACCATTAATTTGTATCATTTATAATTATGTGCGACGCATTTGAATCCATAAAAAAGACAAGAGGGCTGAAAACAAACACTGATGGAGCTCGGGAACATTCCAGCCGATTGTGATCCGGTGTGACAACCCCTTTCACAACTAATTATTATTGGGTATTGTATCAGCCGGCTATCATCATCAGCGATCCTATCTCCTCATTCTGTCATTGTCGCCTCCTTATATCTAGCCTTTCGTTTCTTTCTTAGCTAATGGCACTCATGGTGACTATGTTACGGGGTCAATAACTTGGGCTAACTGTCAAAGCGGAAATTCGCTTTCTTAAATCAATGAAAGGCGTCTCGGTTGAATAACTGCTCTGCCTGGCTAATCGGATTACATGTTACAGGATTATTTACCTTTGGCTTGAATCATATAATTTTTATTAATTTAAAATATTTCTTTATTGTATTGTATTAAATTTTGTCACAACACTCCGAGCCAAGCCTCTAAAGCAGGATTCTACGAGATCCCAGTGCCTCTCTCTCAGCCGCGTTACTAGAGGCTCTACGCGTTCAGTAGGGGCTGAGCAAAGCTATAACCATTGATACATAGCTTGAGTGGAGAATCAGGCCTTTGCCGAAGCTCCAATATATGATTATTTATAAAAGATATCGTAGATACTGCGACAATAAGTCATGATAAGCGACTTCCAACCTCTAGGAGTATGGTAGGGATGGGTGGAGCTGAATAGGGATTGTGCAAGAGGATTTAAATGTTGTGTAAGGTCCTAAGGTATATGGGATATTAAGGTAATGATTTAATGTTTTGTGAGTTACTCAGACTGAGCATAGACTTTTGTTCGAAGGACTTTGGATTAAAAGGATTAGTTGTGTTTGATGTTAGGAAATTCTACCACAGTTCTACTAATAATATTTTATTGAGAAAAAAAAAACATTTTGCCTCAATTAAGGGCATTGAGTATTTAAGATTTGTGAAACACAAACATACCATATATACAATAAAAGAAAACAAGATTATAACAAAAGAAAAGAAAACTTGGGATAACAGAATAAATCAAACATGAGACAACATTAAATAAAAAAATTAAAAACGCATTCATACTTCTTAAAACAATATTTACAGTCAACCGAGGGAGCTCGGAGGTGGGCCCTTGCCCCCAAGTGTGGAGGATAAGGCAAGAGATCCCAACGCTTCTCTCAACCGCATCACTAGGATGGGAATCCATTGGAGACTAAGAGAGGTCACTAAAGCCACATACGCTCATGACTTGAGTGGAGAAGCTGATCATTGTCAGGACTCCAGTGACGTATTTATAAAAGATCTTGAGGCCACTGCCGCTTCAACCTTCGAGCAGGATTATAGAGATGACTGGAACTGGATAAGGATTGTGCTAAGGGATTAGGATGATGGATTAGGACATAAGGGATGTTAAGTCCGTAGGTTCAAATAGGTTTCACGATTTTCCTGCACAGATCAACAATTTGATGATTTAATTTTTAAGGAATTACCATTGTATTTTGAAGTCGCCATAATTTACTTAAATGTCCATTTTTTAGTTCTTGGATTTATTATTTGTTCGAGAACAACCAATTGCAACATTACTGTGCCGCTACGACCGAGCACAGACTCCCGACCACGTGAGCGGTGACCTTGGAAGAGCAGGTAATCCGGAAAGCCGATCGCTCCAGATGGAGTGCCGGCCGGAAGAGGTGGTTCACCCCTCCAATACGCGGTTCCAATCTCGGATAACCGCGGGGAGTCTTTTTTGCCGAGGCGCCTTAAAGAGGGCAATTGAAGCTCGTACGTGAGCCTGGGGAGGGTTCATGGGACCCCACGACCGCCGCTAGTTAGCATAACTGGATAATATCCCCGCTCGCCATCCTCCGCGGTTTATCCTTAAATTGCTCCTCTCACTTTATAGCTTTTCAATCCAAGCTTTTAAATGTTTCTCCGAAAATCCTCGGCGATTGGTTTTCCATCTTGCTACCCTGGGCTTCTAATTAGAATTAAATGGTTTCGGGAACGCCTCCGTCATTCGCTCGCACTCCACCTTTACCTGTTGTCCTTCACTTTTCAAGCTGGTCTGTTTGAACTGATGATTCAGGACTTGCCTGCTAATTCTATTCAATTCAATGCCCATTCAAGACTTTGAGCTACCTGTATCTCATTAGCACAAATAGGTGCATTATCTCCAGGACTATACCTTATTTTGAGCTTTTGAAAACGTAGATAATTAAAAGATCTTTTGTAATTCTGGATCAACGAAATTAGCATAATGTACTCAATGTGCAATAGTGTTTCACAATGGGGAGAGTTTGACTCTTAAGTTCTCGGCTCTTTTTTGAATTAAGTTTATAACACTATAAAATATATTTTCTATTCATTGATAAGACTCTTAAGTTATTTCATCTTTCCCAACATCTTTTTCCACAGCAAACACGCAGGCTTCTTGTTTCCTCACTTATTATTTCTCATTATGACGACTGCGTGGTGTATGGTGGCCTCTCGATTGTACTCGAGGACAGATTGAAACGAATCCTGACCTACGCTCTAATTCTATCTTCAGTATATCGAGGTGGTCTCACGTGTCTCTTTCTTGCGAGTTAAATAAGCTGTTTCTTCTCCTCATCCAGTCGAAAATATTTTCCCGGAACTTACTTATACAATAGTAGGTACAATACTAGCAAGTATCAATAGAACTCATCGATCCTCTTATATTTTTCACAGCTTACAATTCAAATACTCCATCCATTCCCGTCCCACTAGATCTCGTACTTCCGATCTCTATCCTCCTCCTCATCCAACTGCTGCGTTTGACAAATCCTTTGCAATTCAAGCACCTCTCTCTGGAATTCCATCCCTGCTTTTTTTTTTTTGTTCTTCCCTACCTCGCTGTTTAGGCTATACGGGATTTTCCCGGGCCGGAGGGTGAGGGTGGGGAATTTAAAATCCCCTCTGGCACCGGGACGCGAACTCATACTTTTCTTGTCTCTCAAATCTTCATATATCTGGTTGCCGCCGGCAACTCGCGGTGCTGTGCACACGCTTTAGCCCATTCGGCCACCTCGCCCCCCTAATTCCATCCCTGCTGATATTCTGACACGCACAATCAGTTTCCTCTTTCAAACCTCTCCTGCTGATTACAAAATATTCCTTAGAGAACTATCTATGTATCCGCAGAGACTATCTCAATTTATTTAGGATATTTTAGTTTCATATATATATATATATATATATATATATATATATATATATATATATATATATATATATATATATATATAAATATGTACAATTTTCTTGTATTTTTCTCTCTCTTCTATATTATTATTTTTAATTAACTCTTAATGTATTTATATAATTTATTTATGACCACACAGACATACAATATGTACTTATAATTTGTTCTAAAGGGACAACAGTCCCAGAATAATAAAATCTATTTTCATTCTTTCATAGTATTAATTCCCAAAGCCCTTCCTATATCTGCAGTCTTCTGCAATACAAACCCATGGATGACTGCCAGAAAACAAGATCCGTTTCTGACGTCTATATCCCTTCCCACGGAGCTATAACCTTTGAGCGTTCCTTTATTTCCTGTTCCACTGCCATCTGAAATTCATTACCAATGCGCTGTCTCATTCTTGCCCTCATTCGAATCCCTCCTTGTTCATGACCTTCTCAAATATCTTCAATAATAAATTTATTATTTAAAAATTAAATGTTGATTAGAAGAGAATGATAGTTTCAATATATCTGTGACACCTGCCCCCTCCAAAAAAAAAAAACCAATTAAAAGTTAGATATTTTCACTGGTGAAAGTTTAATTTTAGTGTTTCAACACTTGATTGACAAAGGAATATTCATATCCCATAACGCAGCCCATTAAAGAGACAATGAAAGGAAAAAACATTAGCTTACTTTTGGTAAACCTTAAAAATTCACATAACTGCACTTAACGGCCTTTTTAGAGGTGTATCAGATATAATCTTTACCTTTAAAGATTAATTCATTGTGTTCTTTTTTTTTTCTCCCTTTTTCTTTTATTTATTAAATGATTTGTTATAATTTTATTTTGTCTGTTCATTTAATTTATATGTATTCTAAACTTATTTTGTCGCTTATATTTATTAACCTTTTATAATGTACTAGCTGATGGTACCCGTCGTTGTACGGGTGTATAGTTAAAATTTGAGAATCTTTTTTTGAGATGGATTTTGTATTATGTGGGGGAGATCCAAATTGAATTTCATAAAATTGGGTGAGGGAAAAGGATTGTTTTGAATTTTTTTAGGAGGGCTTATGGAAGTCAAAGTTTCGCAATAGTCATAATAAAAACTTTTTTTTTCGGCTATTCGTTTAGGTGCCCTACAACTAAAATGACCACCACCGATCCATTACATTTTTTCAAGTGCTTAATTTTCATTTATGATGAAGCGAGGAGATTGTGGAGTCGATTAAAATAATCAAAAGAGTTGTAGTCTCTCCACTTCTTTAAACTCTGGCAAAATAACCAAAATTACATTGGACATTGAGTCACCTACACCCGTGTAAGATTAGAACTTGGTCTGAATATTGTAGAGGGCGGGGTGAAATTTTTGGGAGTTTTCCCCTCGATTTTCGGCTAATCCGTTTGTTTAATCCTGAAAATGTATGCGACAACATTTGTTAGGCCTTGGACTTTGAATCGAATGACACTTTCGATGGGAAAATCGGATGAAGTTGAAAAATGAATGTGTTTTACACGTGTTTTAAGCGACAAAACGTTACAGATGTTCGGGATTTCGGTTTTTTCCCGTTGTTTTCTGATAATTTTTGTGATTAAGAAAAAAAAAAGAGTTCTGTTATTATAATTGAAAAAAAATATTTTTTTATTATTTATTATAATTTAAATAAAAATAGTTTTGTTATTATAATTGATCACTTGAAAAATAACAAAAGTTGTACCATTCAAGTGATCAATTATATTAACAAAACTATTTTTTTTTTTTGGAAGAGTAGGTTGGGATGAGAATCGCAGTAACTGCCTTACCGGGATCTCTAGACTCATAACTTTTTTCTATTTTCTATTTTGTTTTCATTTAAATGCCATTTTTTAAGTCAAGCAAACCTAAATATAATGTCAAAATTTCTAAAGTCTACTATTATCCATTGCTGTGCTTACTCCTATGAAAATTTTGTTGGACAATGCGGACATACAGATAGACAAAACTTTTTTTAAAAGTGGATTTGGTGTCTGCAATGTATGAAACGGAAAGATATCATGAAACGGGTTGATTCTATTCAATGTACAGACAAAACCTTTATTTTATTTATATAGATATCCTGATTGAATCTTGATCATCTTGTTTTTGGCCAGTTTTGTATTCTATTTATTTATTTGTACACATGTTCTTATTATTATTTCGATTCAATTTTATTTTACATATACCGAAAAGATTACATCCGCTAGTAAGTAACGACGGTATTGCTATATTTTAACAGTTAGTTTATGTTTAATTTTTGCCATCTTTAACTTAAGGAGTATTAATTGTGGTCCTTAGTATTTATTGTATTCTTATTGTTTATTTTTAATGTGTTATTATCCAAGTTTTAATTAATCATCGTATTTGCCACTAAAGTGAAATTGAACCGTTTAACTCTGAAGAACCTTGAATATTGATGATAGTTATTGTCTGATTTTTTTTTTTGTTTTGTTTTTTCCTTTCGAAACTGAAATTTCATGACAGCATAATTGAAACAGAGATGGATATCGCTAGGCGGGCGAGACCCGTTCCTGGACGACAATAGACCCCCAGCTAGAGAGAGTAGCAACTGTGCAGCAAATTGCCCCTGCATTGTGTGGACAGAAGATATTTACCATTGTAAGCGCCTCCCTAGCTCTGCCACTTTAGGCCAAGGGCAATGGCCTCTGCGTCCCGCGTTGCATCCCAGCTTTTTGGGGGCCTGCCTGTTGGCTATCATGTCATGGCGTCATTGCAGCTGCATATTACTCTTCAACGGAAGAGTTGAAGTTATAAACAAAAATTTTAATCAGGTAAACATATATTATTAATTATGGTTAAATAAAAGAAAGCAGACAAAAATGATAAAAAGATCATTATTGAATGATCCGAACAAAAATCTCAAGTTCAATAGCAGTTTTCGTTAAACTACGTGACTAAAAGTGCTTCCATTTTTTTTCCCTCAAAACGTTGACAAAAAGACAGTGAATACATTGTAAACTAACGGAAGCGATACTTTCTTTAAAACAAAAAAAAAAAAAAAATCTGCCAGGTAAGGTCAGTATTGCTTCCTCACCGTTTTCATTGGCTAAAACATATCTATATTACAAGGGCTAACATTTTTCGTATGAGAATAAAATCTCTAGAAGAAACCATTTTCGGAAATTTAGTAATCCCTCAACATATTGGGATTTGATATTCATGAGTTTTGTTCATTGAATACAAAAATGTGAAAGAGTTATGCATTTGCAGATTGCATATTTGTTGATTCGTAATTTTTTTTAAAATCTAGTGCATACTGAACATTAATATCGCTATTATTAATGCAAAAGACCATATGTAAAAATTGAATGTTTATAGGAGAGCTAAATAACTAGTTATTTCTTTATGATTTATTAGTATAATTTCATATTTTATTGCTCTCTGCTATTTTCCATCGTAGCAGACTTCTTATATCAGTTGCAGACTACAAAATGTCACCTTTAGCATAAATAGAATGAAAGTTGAAAATATTTACATACGACCTTTCGCACTAACAGTAGTGCGATATACTTAATAGGAAAATCCAACTTTTTGTTTGTTTG